ATGTGCCTTCTTGAGCAGGGGGACCTTGCGGGTGCTGCAGGATTTCAGTCCATTGCGGCATAGTGTGTTACCAATGGTTTGCTTGGTGACTGTGATCCCATCTGCCTTAAGATCATTAATAAGCTCCTCCCGTGTAGTTCGGGGGGCTAATCTCTGAATCTTACCCCATGAGGCAAGATCTTGCACGGAGCTCCAGACCGAGGCCGATTGATGGTTGTTTTGTATTTCTTCCATTTCCAAATAATCGCACCAACAGTTGTCTCCTTCTCACCAAGCTTCTTGCTGATGGTCTTGTAGCCCATTCCAGCCTTGTGCAGATCTACAATCTTGTCTCTGACATCCTTTGACAGCTCTTTGGTCTTGCCCATGGTGGTGGGAGAGGTTGGAATAGAAGATACAGATTGTGTGGACAGGCGTCTTATACACCAAAGGAGCTGACGTTAGAAGTAACTTCTTAAAGTGGCAGGACTAATCTGTGTTCCACATGGGCACATAACCAGTCTGTGGGAGCCAGAATTCTTGCTGGTTGGTAGGGGATCAAATGCTTATTTCCCTCACTGAAATGCAAATCAATTTCTAACCTTTATATAATGTGTTTTTTCTGGATGTTTTGGTTGATATGCTATCTCTATCCATTAAAATAAACCTACCATAAAAATTACAGACCCTTCATTTCTTTGTAAGTGGGCAAACTTACAAAATCAGCAGGGGATCAAATAAATATTTTCCCCACTGTATACTTCAGGTACACTTTACATATCTTGCATTTAAAGATTGACATTATTCAAAGATCATACAATCATCATCATTAATAGTGACATTAACACCAGTTTTAGGCTTTATATTAGGAATAAATAAAGTTTAATTATAATTTTTATATCAGTAAGAAATACATTTATTTTAAATATATTAATGTTTTACTAGGGAAATTAAAGTAAATGAGGCACTTTTTGGAAAATTTGCAATAAAAAGTTACTGAGAACTTCTTGGTGTTGCCTTGTTTTGTAAAACCAAACCCACTCCCAAAAATCTCCAAGGCACATCTTTATGAAAGTGATTAAGATTGATATGGCATTGTGTGACAAGAAACACATTTAATATTAATATAAAAAGACTTCACACTGCCATCAATATCCTGTAGCAGAATATGACCACAATCGTATTGACTATAACCTTTCAGATATGCAGGGGAGCTCACTGACCGTCTGATCTTGCATGAACTGACCCTGTTTGGCCTCCAGTTGAAGTAGTCTCCATCTGCTTGGGGAAGACTTACAGACCATCCTGAAAACATCCTCTGCAGGTGCACTGCACCAACTTGGCCAATAACTGACCCTTGACCGCCTACTGAGTAGACGGACTACTGGATTTAATCCCAAAAAAGGCTTTAACGTGCCATTCTAACTGCAGTTGATGTCTGAAGGTACCTATTTACATCTAGTGTTTACGTGAAGTGCATACATTACTGGAATGGTCAAGAGATGCTAATGGTCTTTTCATGTTCAGTTTGGATGCAGCTGTTGTTTGGTGTCATACAGGGCTGATTCAGCAATTAGTCTAGTGTTATCGCCACTGCTGTTGCAGCTCAGATGTTAAATAAATGAGTCCCTGACGGTTAATCTTAATATTAGACACAACAACATCTAGGCAAGTCGAATCAACAATTTATGGGCTTGAAAATGAATTCTTCACCTGAAGTGTACTCTGGGACACAAGAACAGCATTTTCAAGAATGAGTGTACAGGGTATCAGGTTGCAGGTCATCTCATTTTAAATATTTTAAATGTGAAACAGAAACTTTCAGAAGATACTTAATTGATGTATAATCTGATCTGTGGCTGATAATGTTTTCAAATGGCCGCTGCCAAAAGAAAAAAATAGGTATGCCAGAAAAAAAAGCAGCCTACTTACTGTTTCGGTTGGTCTTGATCTTGGCCAGAAGTTTATGAGCTAAAGGAAGGTCTCCATTCTTCACAGCCAGAAGAAGGTCCTGCTCCTTGCCCATGGCTGTCGTCCAGCTTCCAGAAACGTGTTATAATCTGGATTCACAATGTCATGATTCTCTCTGTTCATTAAACTTTGGACTTGGCTTTTGGTTTACCTTATCACTTTTTGGTTTGCTTTTACACATATGGTATATACATTTAGCACACTGAGCTTTTAATTTATGGTCCTATGCTACATAAAGTAGATGATTGCTCTTGAGCAGCGAGAATATACTGAATGCAAGCCATCCTTTACAGCCAGAAACATCACAAGGAAACCTATGGGAAAAAACAGACATGCTGTATTATCATGGCTCTATACAGACATATACACTTTAACATAATATTTGTACATAAAACGCAACTTTGCTGCTGCTGTTGTGGTTGTTTAAAAAAAAAACATCTCATGGTATCTTGAATCTGTATTTTTATTTACAATAAGCAACCAATCACTTCTAAGACAACCTGAGAGCTCGTTTGGTTGTTATGAAAAGTACAGCAGGACGGATAATAAGACGTTGAAAATAACCCTAAGCATTAATGACAACTTTCCCTATGTGTTATTAAATCAAATTGTAAATAAGCAATGCACTTGTCGTGTAGAGCTGTAGGATCACACTCACCAATGCGTAGTCAGGTCGATATAAACGCTTAAAACCACTTATTCCACGAAACCGACGAAGTTCAATAAGTATAATCCCGTTTCTGTTTTCCGTTTCTGTTCGGGAAATCGCAAAAGAGCAATGCCATACTTGAACGTGTTTGACACAACACAAGTGACCTGTGTGTGAGCGCGCGCGGATCAGTCACACGCCTCTCTAGTGCTCTCTCTTCCTGAAAGGTGCGCTGTGAAGACTCTTATATTCCAGAAAAAGAATTCCAGAAATGACGAATATCTCCTATAAAATACTCTGTGCGTTCAAATTGCTGGATGTAATGTTCCAAAGATGTCTATACCATTTCATGTTATATTTACAGCTTGAATTTAGACCATAAGTGTTAATTCTATGCTAATTTAACAGTTATTTCACAATGTCCTTCATATTCGTTGATGGTAATATAGTCAAGGAAAACATCTGGGACTCCCATGTTAATTCGTTGTAGTTTCTAAAGTTAGTGCGACATCTGGTGCCTGGACTGCTGTAATGTCCTGAGAGCTCTTGGCGGTAACCATAAACTAGTTCAGGGTCGTCAAACTCAATTCCTGGAGGGCCGGGGCCCTGCAAAGTTGAGATTTCACCCTAATTACACACATCTGATCCAACTAATCAAGTCATTCAGGCTTATTTGAAAATGAATTATTTGGAACAAAACGTTCAAGGGCTCTGGCCCTTCAGGAATTGAGTTTGACACCCCTGAACTAGTTGTTAATTTGGCATCTACTGATTGTGTCCTTTAATGTCACAATATGCAGAAATTATTTGGAAAGAGACACTGATAATATCAGTGTGCAACATAATCCTTGTCTTCCAAAAATGGAGTAAATCTTCTCTTTTCTAGAGTTGCTATGCAATAATTAATAGTTTATTCCAGAATATAAATACACAACTATACAAAACTTTATTTAAAAAAAAAAAACACATTTGCAACAATTTACACTTTCTGATTGTGAAAAAAAAAAAAACACTGACTCAACCACATTTTTTGTCTAGTAATGTTTTGGGTCATTTCAAAGATGATGATTTTCTTGTAAGAAACCCAGATTGTGTTTAGATATCAGATTTTCCCAAATACATCCAGATAAATTTGTCATCATAACATTTCTTCCAGGTTCTCATCTCCAAACGATAATCATGATTAGCATAAAACACTAGTTTAGTGTGTTTGTTGTCATAGTAGTAGTTTGGATATTTCTGATAGTCAGCAGTGCTAAAACCATAGGCTCTCACCTGCAGGATGCAGAAAAAAAACATGGCATTACTATAAAACTATAAGGTGTCCGTTCATCTGATAAAATCAGAACTATCTGATATCTGAACTATTATTATTATTACTATTATTACTACAATAACACTTACAATGTCACATGTGTGCATAGCCAGCAGAAGAGTAAATGCTCCATTAGTTGGCCTGACTAGCCACCATCTTTTTGTTTTCAATTGTTTTGCCTTAAGAAACCTAAAATGAAAAATGTAAGACATGGCCATCAACAAATAATGAACTGATAAGTTCAAGCACTGAATATATGAGTGTATGGAAATTTCAGCTCTTACCTGTTACGCACATATCTGAGAAAGTCTGGATGGAGGATGTAGTAAGAAGTTTCATTAAAATGGCCGCTGTAATAATTCCTTGGCCTTCAAAATAATAAATAATAACTCACTCCAACAATAGGTATACTTATACCACAACAGCCTAACACAAGGCAGATAGTTAAGTGAAAATTATTAATCGCTCTAATTTTTGGCTTATGACGGGTGGGGAACTCATTTGGGGTCGGTAGCCACATTGGACAGAATATCATATCAGACAGGCCAAGAACAGTGAAAAGTTAAAACTTAATTTAACAATTCATCACCCATAATGAAAGACAAAACAGGCTACCACAGCTAACATACAACTTGGAGGATGAAACTGATACAACGGCAGATCATTGTGATGTGGTGATCATTTTACAACATCACTGAAATTTCAATTATTAATTTTAAGGAAACTAATTGTAAGGAAAACCACAAGACAACAGCGGATGCACAATGGGGGAAAAAACACGAATCTAAGGGTGCTTCTCATTTCTTGTTTGTGCATCCTTGTTTCTCCACCCCCCTTATGATGTGAGGGAAGGATGCAAGGAAACAAAAAGAGGACGGAGGAGTCAAAGGAAAGCTCATTTGCATATTAGAATATTCTTGATCACTCAAGTGTCACTTCAAAGCATCATCAGCTGCACTCATGGGATCTGGCCTTATATTGTTAAAGTTTAAGACATGCATAACTACTATCAGAGCAAAATGCCCTGTTGAAATATATGAGATGTAAGGTTTATTTAAACTGTGAAGGTAAAACATAAATTTAAATTATGCCAAATGTGAAGGGGGAGGAGAATTTATATGTGTATCAGTTTTTGCAACAAGAAAGACTTCCGCATAGGATACACCTGTGTATCCATAATCATTGAAGGTTGTGCATTTATTACGCTGATGCAGCAAGAATATACATTAAGTGTCTAAAATTGAATGATGAAGTTCGCCGTCTTTAACTTGATGTTAAATTGAATGTGCGAAGCCAACTTCTGAAATCACCACAACATTAATAAGAACACCGAAACAAGACTGCTCTGTTTATCTGGCAATCTCATGTGCATAAAAGTTGTGTTTGTTACAGTAGTAGTTTCCCTATTAGTACAACCCTAACAGTAGGATCCTGGCATGTTTATTTCAGAATCACCATTGGCCGGTAAGAAAACTACATTTTATTTAAATTAAAAATAAGATAAAGACCCTATGTAAAAATGCCACACGGTGGCATTTTTGAGCAGCCTTCGGAGCTGCCAGTGTATGTACACTCCAAAAAAACAGTGTGGAGCTTCTCGTTTGGTAACTGCAACTCTGTGTGGTTAATTCGGCAACTTTTCGGTTTCTTGGCCTGTGGGCCATAAGGAATGATCAAGTGGGCTGTATATTTTGCACTACTGGTTCATGATCACAAATATTGATTGATAATTACTTTTCTGTTAGGATGACTTACGTTCGTCCACGATATGCTCCTGATGGTATTTTTCTATTCTTCATAAGGGACTCAAGAAAGTTGTAGTCTCTTGGACCCTCAGGGATTAGAACATATTTAATGTCCTTCCATAAAAAAAAAAAAACTATCAGAGGTTCAGCCAAAGTAGCCCACATATAGGAACATGTGATAGCATAGACACACCTTGTCAGTAGGAATCTGTTTGAAACCTCTCTTTTTGTGTACCATGAGGGACTGGATTAAGGAATGTGCTGTGTGCACATAAACGGACGTCCTTTTCCCAACATCCTCCTCATGGCCTGCTATAATGGCTGCATTCACCCTAACAGAAACAAACAAGTGATTAAAGGAAAGGATCACCCAAAAATGACAATTACCCCATGATTTACTCACCCTTAAGCCATCCTTGGTATGTATATATGACTTTATTCTTTCAGACGAATACAATCGGAGCAACATTAAAACTGTCCTGGCTCTTTCAAGATATATAATTGCAGTGAATGGTGGTTGAGATTTTGAAGTCCAAAGTAGTGCATCAATCCATCATAAAAAAAGTACTCCACATGGCTCTGGAGGGTTAATAAAAGCCTTCTGAAGTGAATTGATGAGTTTGTGTAAGAAAAATATCCATATTTAAAACTTTATAAATCGTAATCTCTAGCTTCCACATTCACGAGAGTGGCGTTCCAGCAGATGACATGCAATGCAGGCGTAGCATAAGCTCCAGTGAGAATATGCTAGTCTCGTGAGAACCAAGTTTTGCTTACAAGAAAAACCAGTCTCCTCTTGGCTTATATTGAAATTATCCTCCATGTCGAGTACTTTTTATGATGGATGGATGCACTATTTTTCGGCTTCAAAATCTTGACCCCTATTCACTGGACATTTTTTAATATAACTCCGATTGTATTTGTCTGAAAGTAGAAAGTCATATACACCTAGGATGGCTTGAGGGTGAGTAAATGATGGGGTAATTTTCATTTTTGGGTGAATTAGCCCTTTAATGTTCAATGTTCAATTTATTTATAAAGCACTTTAAAACAACCTTAGTATACCAAAGTGCTGTACACAGTTACATTGATCCAATCACACAATAGAGTAAACATGTCATTAGAAAACCACAGTCACAAAACATTGAAAGCATCGGAAAAAAGATACGTTTTTAAAAGACTTTTAAACTCAGACACTGAAGAAGCTATTCTGATGGATAATGGCAAATTGTTCCATAGCTTGGGGCCAGCAACAGCAAAGGCTCTGTCACCCCTGCATTTCAATCTAGCTCTGGGAACCAAAAGCCGATGCTTAGTCTGTGATCTGAGTGATCTAGCTGGATTGTGTACTATAATCAACTCGTAGAGATATGGAGGAGCAAGGTTGTTTAGAGCTTTGTACAAGAATAGCAGAATTTTGAATTGGATGCGATAATTAATCGGTAACCAGTGCAATGAACGCAAGATAGGCGTGATGTGATTCCTTCTGCAACTTTAAGAGGTTAAAGCTTTGACAAGATATCCTGATGTACACATAATAACTTTTCAGTTTACCTGAACACATAATCAGAAGAGTCAATCTCCTTTCCTAGCCTGGAGCCATTGAGAATGCCGCCAGTCCCAACAACAGCACAGCGAATACAGCCATCCTTCGCTCTTATGGGTACTTGTAGTAACTGGGTAGATGTTAGTTTAGGGATGGTGTCAACAGCTGCTTTTGTGGCTATAAAAAAGAAAAATAGTGCATTGTTCTAAAACCATGTCTTAATAAACCATATACATTATCACATTTATGCTTTCGGATTAAACAAACCTGAGTAATTTAGTCCCATATAGCCAAAGGGGTTGTTGAAGTGATAAAGTCGGTTCCACTCACTCATGTTGAGATGATCACTTTGTAAAAACAGCTGAATGTTTGGAATAAACTTCTCCTTAAACACGGGATTAGAGGAATTTCGCAAGGACGCCATGCATTTCTGAAAAACATATTGAAAATGTCTTTAACCCTGTAAAGCCTGACAAATGAAAAACAGTTTGAAAATTTGCAATGTTTTACGTTTTGTATCATATCAGTCTTCTATGGCTCATGTAGAATGAT